ATACAAATACTTTTTATTTCAAAATAACGTAAAATATGAAACACAAATACCAATTATAATTACATTTATACATTGCGCAGGTTGATGATACATTGTTAAATCCCAGGCCCCTTATAGCTATTTTAAAAGCGAGCAAAAAGTGTTCCTAGCAATTTGTTACGTCATTCTGGTACTATTAAGAGGCCGCTTTTAAAGTTGCCGCTCTGTGTAACCTGACACCTTTTGAGCTGCCCCAATACACTGGTTTAATATTATGACCGTAATTAAAAAACGAAATAGTTTCACTTTTCTATTATTGCATCTGCAACCTAACAGCTCTCCCAAACGGGGATTATTAATGTTCTCGCTGTATGGGAAAAAGTGGTGAATGATGGATTTATGTTTTAGCGTAGACATTCTATAAGAATTTTAGAATATATTTAAATGTGTGAATAGATTTTTATTCTGTTTTTATTTCTATTTTTTTTTTCCAAAATAAATTTATGAATAAATCGCATTTGTTAATGTTTGACAGCGAAATGACCGTTTATGTATTCATTCTTCTTCTTCTTCTTCCTTCTTGTATGTAGGCTTTAAGGCCTGTTTCTTTTTCAATATTAGCCTCCTAAATTGTTTAAATTGCCGCACCATCTTTTTCTTGGTCTGCCAATACTTCTTCTTTCATTTGGTGACTTATCTCGTACTATTGGCACTATCCTATCCTCTGCCATTCTACTAATGTGTTCGTTTCACTCCTGTTTCCATTTTGTCACCCATCCATTTATGTCTTCTATATTGCATGCTCTTCTTATGTTATCGCTTCTTTCCCTATCCAACAGACTTTTCTCTGATATTCGTCGGAGTATTTTCATCTCTATTGTTTCTAGTAGTGGTCTCGTTTTAGATGTGTCAGGTCTTGTCTCCGCCGTGTATGTTAATATAGGTCTAATTACTGCTTTATAGATTCTTGTTATTGTGTCTTGTCTTAGGTGTTTGTTCTTCCAGATTGTGTCATTAAAAGATCCCCCCGCTTTACTTGCTTTTAAGCTTTGCTGTCGTACTTCTTTTTCAACATCTCCGTAACTAGTTATATCTATTCCCAGATATCTAAATCTTGCTTCCAGCTTTATTATTTTCCCATCAATTTCGATATTTCATCGTAGTGGGTATTTAGATGTTCTCATACATTCGTTTTTTCTGCTGATATTATCAGATTGTATTTCTAGGCTGTTGTATTAAAGATATGTGTTAATCTATGGAGCTCGTCTTCTGTCTCGGTGATAAATGCGGCATCGTCTGCATAACATAACAGTTGGCTTTCTTTGTTCTCCATTCTGTAAGCATAACCCTTACGTACTGCTTTTATTATTTCGTTCATTATTATATTGAAATCTACAAAAGCCAAACCAACTTCCTTTCAGATGGCAAAATCAAAATCTTTAAATTGATATGAATATGTAATTTACCAGTTATAATTATTGCCATCAAGAATCATACTATTAAGTACCTTCAAAATAATCGTTTTATTACTTTAAAAGCAAAAAATAATTACCATAAATATTCTGGAACGAACAAATTCCCAACCATAAAATATTTCGATCGATACTAATTATGACCCTTTTAGGAAATTAGTAACCAAAAACCTTTGGGTAAACTGTTCAAAACATTCTTTTATAACAAAACATTACCATAATCTCTAGATCAATCATTGGTTCTAAAGAAAAAGTTAACAGGTTATAAGTTCACTAAAAGAGAATTGATTTAAATAGGCCCTTAGCCGAATTTCGCGGATTCATTATACATTAGACCTATTGAAAATTTAGTCGATAAATGAAGCGGTGTTTTTTGAATGGTGTCGAAAGCGATTGTAGAACTGCCAAGCGGAAAGCTCCTAATATAATCCATATTGTTACGTATATATAATTTCATATATGTTGTAACGTTATAAACGTCAGATCTTTATTACTTAATATTTAAATAATTATTTCATTTTCATTTCTTTATTAATTCTTTTACTTCCAGCTTCGTTTTTACTATTTTTTCTTCAAAAAGTAGTTGGCGCCCCCTGTCTTGCTTTTCTCTCTCTTTCTGTCCCGTAGAATAAATATTCACCCTCTCTCTTTCTGTTCGGCAGACTAAATATTCTATTCTGTGTTGACAGAAAAGCTAATTCTGTCATCATCAGAGCTATCGTCAATTAGACAATAAATACTTCATAGAAGGAAAATTGTGGACAAACAACATATTAAAAAACAAAGATCGGGCTCTCTAGGCCACAGATCTTGGGTCTAGAGAGTCTCTGTGGCCTAGAGAGCCCGATCTCTGTTTTTTAATATGTTGTTTGTCCACAATTTTCCTTCTATGAAGTATTTATTGCCTAATTGACGATAGCTCTGATGATGATATTTATTATGTCGAAAGTATACTCAGCTTAATTAATTAATTATTTTACACACTATCAATTTTATTGAAAACATACAAAACCTGCTTACCAGTTAGACCTATTTAGAAGTGTGTACAAGTCTTACAGTCTTTTTTAATTTTCTTTAGATTATTTTTAATTCAATTTAGAAATTATAATCGGTTCACAATTTGTCGATAGCTCACTACAACTTTAATCCTAATTAGAGAACTGAAATACAGAGAGGATAGGTAATACGATATAACAGTAAATCATATTTTCATTACTAGAGCAACTTACTTTCGTACTTCTTAGGCTTTTGTTGTACTGATAATTGTATTTGTTTAATTTTTTGTCTTTAAGTCGATAAAAATCTTAAAACAAACGGTTATCAAGTAACGATCTTGGAGACAAATGATCAAAAATCAAATTTCCCCAGCGGTTTATTTATTCTAAATTAGTCAAAACAGTTTCGAACAAAAGTGTTATTACGAAAGGTCTAGAGAAGAATGGACCCCACCTGCGGTATACCTGTCGGCCCGTAACACCATAAAAGACTTAATAAATCATTTTCTTTTGCAGCTAGCGACTCTCCACTTATATTTAATAATAATTACATTAACAACACACAACACGAAATGCATTTTCTATTGAATTATGCTGTTTTAATTCGAAAAAGCTGAAAATTCCACAAAAAGTTATTAATAAATGTCATGCATCGCGCTGCGGACAACGCTGAAACTGATCTAGATAATAATACCGTGGATAATTTGCCGGGCTGCTGATGACGACATGAGCTTCTTATTAGTTTGTCGAATTTATGGCATTTGAGTAAAAAATGGTCTAGTGCTTGACAGCGACTTCCGTTGCTCTCTGGTAGCTACGCGATAATGAAGCTTAAAAAAGATCATTAGATTATGTATCGGCACTACAAACAAAACCTTACATACTACGACTTCTTATAATAATGAATAAAACAAATTAGCTGTTCACGTCACTTGCGTCCAAAAAGTATCTATATAGTGTTGGTTGTAGTGAGTCGAATCTTATTGTGTATACATATCTGTAGAAGGTCGTTCATATAACTAGAGGCCGGAGTAAAATTTATAAAAAAACCCGCCAATTTGTATTAAAACAGGGATGAATTTGTAACCCCCTACTGTCCGGCATCAACCCTCAGTTTTTTTTAAACTTAAGCTTAAGCTTAAACGTATTAGAAAACCCCAAAGAACTCCAAAATTAGATGTTAGAAAACTGAAAGAAGATGAGATAAAAATCAAACTTCAACAGAAAATATACGAAAACTTTGATAAATTATATACTAACACTTACGAGATAAACGAACAATGGGAAACACTAAAAAACTACCTCCTCGCTCCATGCAAAGAGATATTAAAAGAACCGATACGAAAGAAAGACAATTGGATGACCAACGAGATACCCGGCATGATGTAACAACGAAGACAAGCCAAGAACAAACACAGTCACAATTACAAAATCATTAACAATGAAATCAGAAAAAAGATAAGAGAGACAAAACAAACTTACTTAAAGAGATAGAGGATATTCAGAACAAATACGACCTATTCAACATACATAAAAAGGCTAAAGAAATGGCAGGGCTGCAAAAAAGAAACCACAACACAACTCTTTTAGATAAAAATGGAAACACTATGATAACGACTGACGAAAAACTAAAACAATGGGAAGAGTATATGGAAGAGCTCTTCGACGACGAAAGAGGAAACCTACAAGACTTGTCTTTTGAGGACAGAGAAACAAGTGTAGAACTTACAAAGGAAGAAATACTGTATGCACTAAAGAACACCAGAAACGGAAAAAGCCCGGGGCCAGATCAACTGCCTATTGATATCCTTAAAATAATAGAAAATGAATACATTGATGTCCTCTTAAAGCTTTTTAATAAAATTTATCAATCGGGTGACATACCCAACGAATGGTTGACCTCAACATTCATTTGTCTCCCAAAAAAGAAAAATGCTAGAGAATGTACCGACCACCGTACCATAATCTTGATGTCTCACACACTTAAATTGTTTGTAAAAATTATTCATAAACGCATTTACAAAACACTTGATATGGATATTGAAGAAACTCAATTTGGATTCCGTAATAGCGTAGGTACCCGTGAAGCTCTCTTTGCATTCAACGTACTAATCCAAAGATGCTCGGATGTGAACCAAGATATGTACGTCTATTTCATAGACTACAACAAAGCTTTCGACAAAGTCCGTCACAAAGAGCTAATGGACATCCTCAAAGCAAAACAACTATAACACAATGACCTTCGAATTATAACAAATCTATATTATAAACAGCAGGCACACGTACGCATTAATGAACACACATCAGAAGAATTCGAGGTTAAAAGAGGAGTGCGACAGTGGTCTGTATTGTCACCACTACTATTTAATGCATACTATGAAGAAATTATGAAAAGAACTCTTGAGGGAGAAACAGTAGGAATCAAGGTCAATGGAACACCAATTAACAACATTTAACATTATAAAAAACTTACCGTCTCCTTCATAATCTCCTTTTCCTCTCAACAGTCTAGATATCGCAGAAACACTAGGAGCTGTACTTCTATCGCAGATACCTTCCTTCACCAACCGGTCTCTAATTTCCCAGCTAAAAATGGACGGATTTTCTCGTTTATATTGTTCTATTCTGCTTTCTACCTCTGGAGTGGCCACTCGAGGTTTGGAACCGCCTATAACACCAGGACGAATAGATCCAGTTTCCTAGAAAAGAAGATTGCTAAATGAAATAACATTTATATTCTTAAATTAATTCAATATTCTAAAATGACTTTTATATAATAAAAAGCTGTGGATTTGTAGACTACGCCAAAGATCTTCTAGTACTGATTATATAGGGTTTGTTTAGAGGTATAGAATTTGACAAAGAATAAAACAAAGATGATTTTTATTAATTGACATAAAATTGACTTTATTCGAAAGATACTCGTTTGACCTTATAATTTAAATATAATTTCTGGCGTATGACCGTCATAACTGGCTCTTGCGTAGTCTAATGTGAAGGTCCAATTTTCGACCACTTTTTCCGATATTTGTCGTCGTATATCAGCAATAACGCGGCGAATTTTATTCTTCAAGTGGGCAATCGATTCATGCTAATCGGCGTAGACTAGCACCTTCACATATCCTCACATAAAATAGTCTAACAGTGTTAAATTGCAGGATCTTGGAGGCCAATTCAGAGTCCAAAACGTGAAACTATGCGGTTAGAGAACGTTTCCTCAAATTAAATCAATTGGGGCACGAAGTGTGTAACATTTTGCAACGTCTTATTGAAACTACAGTACCTGCACAACATAGTTGTTCAATTGGGGAATGAAAAAGGCAGTAGTCATGGCTCTACTTCTGGCCAGCATCGTTTTTGAGGAAGAACGGACCAGACCATAAAGCACACCAAACAGTCAGTTTTTCTGAATGTAATGGTTTATCAACAGACATTTGAGAATTATCTTAACCCCAAATAGCCAATTTTGTTTGTTGACGTAGTCATTCAATCAAAAGTGAGCTTGATCGCTAAACAAAATTCGCTTATAAAAATCGGAATCAACGGCAATCTCGTTTTGTACCCACTCACCGAATCTACGTCTTTCTAGGTAATGATGTACCTTCATTTCTTGCATGAGTTGGATTTTGTAAGCATGCAAAGCAGTATCTTTCCGTAAAATCTTCCACAAAGTCGATGGACACGTATCCAACCACTGTGCACGATGGCAGATATACTGATTCTGGTCTTCATGTATTATACACTCTACAGCAGCAACAACTTCTTTCTTCTGTACGTACTGGATGACATGTCTGTGGATGCACATTATCATTTAGAGTAAACTTGGTGCAAAAATGTTCCCTGGTTGGAAATTGTACCTGTGTGGGAGTGTCCGAAATAGATCTACAGAAAGGAAAATAATTTGCCCTAATAAAAAGTAGATGATGATGAAGTGTATTTTAATAGGGGTAATTTTCGCGCAAGTGACAGTTTGTTTTCTATTAAATATTTGCGAACTAGGGATCTTTGCATAATGTAATTCATACAAATCTTCTACGTAGCTAGTTCCGAAGGTCAACTGACTGAGGAAATTTTCAATCCGACCTGTGATCCGACTTCTAACTTCACCATTCACGCTCCCACTTCGTAGCCAGTCAGAAGTCGGACCTTCATGTCGTCCCTCTAGATCAGGGGTGCTCAAACTTGAACTGCTGGCGATCTACCTCAATATTTTTAGACTACTTACGATCGACTCTGAGAGACTGCAAGTGTGTGTGATGCAGGGTTGTCGTACATACACGATACACCCTACCTACCTAGGTAGGGCGTACCGTAGCATATATAGATATTAGCTTTCTGTACAATATAGGTACATTATTTTAGTCAAGGTTTGGGTTAGGTTTAGTTAGGTTCTTCTCTACAATATCAATGAAAAAACTCATAGTTATTCAAAATTGCGAGTTTATTTGTTGTTACAAAACAAAAGAGTTACATATGGTGTTAAACTTAACTAAGGAGTGGCTTTGGATGTTGAAGCGTGGCACTGAATGTCCTCAGCATACTTTTCATAAGATGGTACGTAACCACTGAGTGCTAATCGCAATCATGATGTCATATGATCGTCAGTAGGTCGATTGCGATATTTTGACTTAATTATCTTCATTTCAGAAAATGCAGACTCGCACAAGTAAGTTGACCCAAAAAACGCCGTCAGTTGAAGGGCGATTTGCCTTACATTCGGATATTTATCTTCAGATGTAAAACGCCAGAAATTTGTATCAGATACTGTAGCTTTGAGATGTATATCTGATATAATCTGCACCAACTCATTTTCAACAGAACATGAGTTCATATTAAACTGACTTGCTATTTCAGTAGCTAATTCGTCAAAGTTTTTACATGAAAAAGGATAACTCATAAATGATGCTATATTTTTCAATTTACTGCAATCATAAAAACGCATTTCGAATTATCCCAAAATATTTGATAATTCAGCCTCATACGTATCATAATTCAACTGAGGAATCCTTGCTTTCAAAGACGGAAAATGTTTCAGATCCTTTCTTTTCAGTTGATCTATCATAAGTTGCAATTTACTTTTGAATGCGTTTACTGCTCTAATCATCTCAATAATAGTTTTTCCTTTACCTTGAAGCTCCAAGTTAACGGTGTTTAAGTGCATTGTGATGTCAGTCAAAAATGCCAAATCATTTAGCCATTTTTCGTTTTTCAAAATCTGAGTGTCATCACCTCTTTCGTCTAGAAAAGCTGTTATTTCGGGCAATAATTCTTGAAACCTTTTTAGGAATTTTCCGCGACTTAACCACCTGACGTCCCCGTGAAGAACTAAATCAGTGTGTTCAGCTGACTCCCTATCTTCCAACTGCAACTGAAAGAGCCGCCGTTGCAAGCTACGTGCACGGATGGAATTCACAATTTTTGTTACAATGCCCATAATTTCCTCCGTGTTTAAAACTTTTGAACACAAAACTTGTTGATGTATAATGCAATGGAATGAAAAAAATAAAGGGAATTCTTCATTAGCTCGACACAATGCCACAAAACCGTTTTTGTTTTCAGTCATTGCTGGTGCTCCATCGGTTGTAATGCACATTAATTTATATATTGGTAGCTTGTAGTTTTTTACAAAATTTAAGAAAACGTCATATATATCTTCGCCACGGGTCTTCCCCTTCAGAGGAATGATTGTCAAAAATTCTTACTTAGCCAACATGTCATTGAATACCATCCGAATAAAAATACACAGGTGGGCAGTGTCTGTCATATCGATGGATTCGTCGAACTGTAAAGAAAAGTATGTACATTCCATGATATCATGTTTTAGTTTATCTGCGATGTCTTGACTCATGACTTCAATACGCCTTGTGACAGTCGGACGAGATAACTGAAGTTCTCTAATAGCAGACATGATTTCTGTTTTATTTTTAAAATCTCCAAATAAAGTCTCACTCCAAATCTCCAAAATTGTTCTTTTTTTAAACAAGATATCAAATCATTTATTTTTCGTTTTCTTAATTCACTCTGTGGCAGAAAATCCTTTTCATAGTTTTTATGAACCGTTTTATGATTCCTCTCTAAGTTACCACGCTTAGGTATTGCAACTGACGCACGACAAATAACACTTATCCTTCACCATAGAAAAATAAAATTCTTCCTCCCAATCCTTATTAAAATGATACGTTTTAGATTTCTTCACTGCACTCATTTTCCACTATTTAATAATAAACTTTGTATCGACGTAGGATCGCTATCAAGTTACAATTCAGAATAACTCCAATTCCTGCAGGCGCAACATTTATATCGGCCTGAACGAAAGTCTCGAATGTTTCCGTCAAACGCGCCGCCCGAAACTAGACTGTACTGTCTCTCGTCTAGAAACAACACGGCTTTTCTTTTACAAGTGCCGCGCGTTCCTTTGATAAAGCCACCTTTGGCCGCAAGCAGTGTTATTTTATTACGTAATACATTTTTGTAGTTGATAGAATATTATCCCAAATTTGATTAATAATTATAATAAATATTGAATTAATAAAATAATTAGTTAATATATGTAAATATAAAATATGCTGTGTGGTCAGTATTTTGTTGTCCCCACTTCTTTGAATTGCAATGATGCTTAGTCAAGCATTCTATGTATTTGTATAGTTCAGTATTAATAAAAACGTTTAACTCTGCTAACAGTAGTTTAGTTACCTACCTACTTATTAAAATTTTTTTCTTCTCGAGATCTACCCAAAAAGCACTCGCGATCGACCCGTTTGAGCACCCCTGCTCTAGATGTTCTGACTCGTACCACTAGTGGTCCAACTAATCTAACCAGCCCAACCACGGTCCGATTTTTAGATCCAACTGCGGATCCACTAGTCGGAAGAGTTTTGTTCATTTTTCTGTCCTTTGAATTGAGTAAACGCTTGCAAAGTTGTTTGTTTTTTGAAACATAATATATGTATTTACCAATAAACTACACGCTGTATGGTAGGAATTGTACAGTCCGTCCCAAATCCTTCTTTCAGTGCGTCATAGTTGTTCGAATTCTCTCTAACGCATGAAGCTAGAAGTGACAGAAAAAAACGTGAGTCGTTGATTATTATACATAGAACTTAGAAAATTAAGTATCGTTCACGGGTATTCGCATATTAAAGCGAATTCTACTTACGAACGTATAATTCGTTGGAGTTTAGAATACGCTAAATATATATCCAATCAATTATGCATATAAATATAATTTGACACAGATGATCTTGATAATGACAGTGACAGTACTTTCACAATGTCAACTGATAAAATGATAATTGCCATTCCAGGTTAATATTTTCAGACATTTTAACTACAGTGAAAATTAAATTTTGTATTTATTGTCATAAAAATATTTTAAATATTCCGAGATATACCGAGAATGAAAAAACACTAATATTAAAATTATTAAATTAGTTTCAATTAGAAAAAGAGGCTGAGACATCTTTATTTCAGTTTCTGTCGTTCGCGAATCAGATTGTGAATTCCGGAATGATATTGAGGAAATATCATAAACTAATACCTTTATGGATATTTATATGTATTAAAACGGTTCTTTTTAGAACCACGACATTTTCTTGAAATGTAGGATATAATTGATACCAGCCACACATCTAGTGTAATCATTGATTTTCAAGAATCAGATTCTGAATCGGATTATAGATTGTTTGAAATATAATATTCATTTTTGTTATTCATAAAAAAGAAGGTAAACTTACATTCGGTATCTTGTTTTTTAATTAAACTCCATTAACACGATTTCATCTGGATATCGGAACTGGTAGATTAACTCAAAAATCAACTGCTTCACTATTTAAACTATTTTCACTATTTAATGACAACTCTTCACAAAATTAAACTATTGGCTGCCACACAAACTTATCAGAAAATTACTTATCCAAATATGACTGATTTAAATCGATATTATTTTATCACAGGAATGTTTACTTTGATGCCTTGCAATTGTCAGTAAATTTTTTTACCTTGCAGTCAACTCTTAAGAGATTCTAGGAGGAAGCGTTATTTTAAATAAACAAACCTTCCAATTCCCTAGTGTTTGTAATAAATAATAATAAATCCATAAACAAATCTTAGCTAATTAAGCACTTTCCATGGAATGTATAAAATAGAACAGAATAGAATAGAATTATGACAAACTGCTATGCATTAAAAAAAATAACCTTTTCACGTTTAGCCGATTACGATCCTGCAACTGTCAGATTTAACCATCGAGCAAAAAGACAAAAGAGGGAATCTAATCGTTATGAAAAGGAGACCAAAAAAGTGGCCTCTGATGGCGGACATATCCGGAAATGCAAAGGCGCTAAATTTAAATTT